GCTCTGCAGTGATGTGTGATGGTTTATTCTTTTATTTTATATATATGTGTGTGTGTGTGTGTATATGTGTATGTATATATATATATGTATAAATATATATAAAAATACAGATATTCTAAAATTACTAATCTTTCTGGGTGAAGGATCTGGGAGGCTTTAGGGGTTGTGAATTGTCAGGTCTCTCTGTCCCTGGGCTAACCCCTATGCTCCATACCTCCTAAAGTAAGAAACTCTGGCCTATCCATCTTTTAGGATACATTGACCCTTCTCAAATGTAAACATTCTGCTTGAGCCTTGCTGAGGACAGGGAGAGGAGTGCTGCCACCCAAGAAGCAGAAGGGGGAGCCCATCTCCCAGGCCACCATTCTCTAGATAGCTGTGACAGAGGTGGAGAGCACAGGACAGATATATTGAGCACTACTGACATCTAACGATTTTGATATCGTTTGATGTGGCCTATGTGTAAACACCTAACAAAGAACATGCCAGGTGAGACCAGAGGTTCAGCTGGTTTGTTACCTGGGCCTCAAAGAGCTTTTTTTTTTTTTTTTTTTTTTTTAAAGAAACTTTTAATCATCTGAGCTCGGTTTAATGCTTTAGTTCGTTGTTCTGAGGTTCTTTGATAACAGGCGATGTGAGATAATATGGAATCTGGTTCAACATCTGAAAGATGTTTCTAATTATTCCAGTGCAAGCCATGGTTCACTGCTCTTCTCTCATAGGAACAAGTCCAAAAGACTAAGGACATGTTGAATAACGTGGCTTTGGATGAAGCCAATTTGGAAGCCAGGATTGAAAAACGGAAATTGGAACTGGAAATAAGCCAGAAGAGACTACAGACCCTACAAAGTGTTCGGTAAACTTTATGAACTGATCATCTACTGCATAAATGATCGTTAGCATAAATGATGGTACCGTGCATTCTTAATGCTTACTGCAGTGAGAAGTGAAGTCTGTAATGAGTCTGAGTTGATGGCGTGTGCAAGAGAGATTTTCTTCTCTACAGATGCTGAGCCGGGATTGTAATTGTTCATTTTTCAGTTACTGTGTATTTGAAACCAGCAAGATAGTGCTGTTAAAATGGCCAGAATATTATTTGGCGTTTTTTGTTAATTGTTGCTTGAGCTGTACAAAATACTCGGGTAGCAGGCCTGGCTCTTTAGGATATTAAATGTAAGTCGTGTCAGATGCTTCTCCTGGAAATGACAACTGACTGGTGCAACCATTCTTCTTTGTTCCTAGAGGCTTCTAGCATTCCCAGCCACCTGTAAGAGAAGGTCACTGAGCATCCTTTGTTGGGATTAGTTTTTCTTTTTCTAGGCAGTAATGCAGCAGTTGAGATTTACAGTTTGGGCTGATCTCATGCCCCTGTTTAAAGAGTGGGCTTATACTGTCTACAGGATCTATTTGTGACCTCATATGAAGAGAAAATAGTAGAAATATTAGAAAAACGAGCAGTGGAAGGAATGGCATTAAATTCATTTAGACATGTTTTGATCAGTAACACTTTGGGAGAAGTATACTTGGTAGGTTGAAGCATAAAACAGCAGTAGTGTTCTTTGGGGCCCAATAGTTGTCCTGTAGCAAAGGACATCAAGGCTTATTGCTGTCGGGTCTGGTTGTACTTCTAGCTACACAGCACAGTTTTGTTACAAATAAAGTCTCCAGGCAAGGTAGGTGACTTACAGGCCGTACTACAAGCTAGTCCTTGGAGTCATGAAATAGCAAGAAGATGAACCTCTCCTTAGGTTTGTTGAAATGCTGCCCTTCTGCCTCTTTGAAGGGCATGGTAGTGGGTACGCAGTAACCTTTCCTTTGCTATGTATAACTTTTGCAGGATAGGTATAGTATTTTTGCTTAATGCTTTTAGTCTCTGAAGTAGTATAGAATCTTGAAAATAAAAGGTCCTTTTACATTGGTTTAGCAGAAGTGGAAAGGCAACTCCAAAAACAACAATGAATTTTGGAATTCTGTGTCTACAGGTCAATATCTCTGAGTAGTTTGTTCTTGTTCTCTCTAGTCCTGCTTTTATGGATGAGTATGAGAAGATTGAGGAGGAACTGCAGAAACAATACAGCAGTTACCTAGAAAAATTCCATAATCTGACCTATATGGAGCAGCTCCTAGATGATCTTCGTAGAACAGAGCAAGAGATGTTTGAGGTAAGACAGCTGTCAAGTCTCAAATGACACTGTTGTTTAGCTACATCTACTTAATGGAGCCAGTTTCCGGTACATATACTATTGGCTTTAGCCTTGTAATGAAAAGCTTTCTAATACTCTCTTTACTAAAGCAACGTGCTACTAGTTGAAGATGCAGCTCTGAATGACTGGCAGTTTCTGCCATGCAGTGTAAGTTTGATTGCTCTCAGACAAACATAACACAGCTTTTGAAGCGACATCAGTGTAAAACCCACCTAAAACTCAATGCTGGACTCGGATACCTTTTTCCTATTTCTAACTTTCCCTGATTCTTCCTTTTTCTCTCAGTGTCTCTGTTCCTGAAGGATATTTTCAGCATTTCTAATCTTCTGGTGCCACGTACAGTGTATATGCTAAGAGTTTTTAGATACTTTTTTTTATCACCTGCTGACAATTGATGTGTAAGGGTTTCTTAGCACAAGGTCCTTCAGTTTCCTTATGATTGCCCTCTTCGGTGAAAACATAGTAAAAAGTATCAATGAAAAGATCGTGTATGCTGGAATCCTCTCTAACACAGACTTCAGTCTTGTTTTGCAGAAATTCTCTTTTTGGACTTCCTGAATTCTGTCAGTTCAGTGTGATTATCTGTTTCTTTTCTGTCTTGCTGGATAATCTGCCTCTCTGTCTCTTTTTGCTCCCTCCTTCAGGCAACCTTCCTTTCAGCTTTCTGTAGCTTTGTGTTTTACTGATACTATTGGCTGGTCATCTTTCTTAAAATCATTACCCCATGCATTTTCTGTTCTTCGTTTTAAACAGATGTTTTGGTGAATGATCTCTCATGAGACTTCTAGTATTAATCGATGTGTGTTCTACACCTTGTTTTAGTTAACTAGTGCTTCCTTTTTCTGGATCTTCCTGTCTTGCATATGATGATAGTATTTTATTTTGTTAACACAACTTGATCTTGGCAGAAATATTGGAGGGCTTTGAATAACGTTCCTTGTATCCAGCCTATAAATGCGTATTTTGCTTTTTCTATGTCTGTATGTGCTTACTGATTTGAAGGACCGAATTTTGTTTTCCTGTATTTATTTGCCTTCCTCCTTTTAACATCATCATACCTCCGTTTAGTTGCAGTAAAATGTTGTGACCTGTGTTTATGCTGAAGATAAAGTAAGGCAACTTTTGTAGTTCCTCTGCTCCTGCGAGCTGCCTATCTTATATGTATGAGATGATGTCTTTTTTTTTAGAAAGCCTTGTTGCTCTGTAGAACTGATTGCGTCCAGAAGTCTCCTGCACTGAGCGTTGCCTAAGACACAGCGCGATGGACGGGGCTTCATAGCTGGGTTTCAGGCAGCTTTGCAGACGTGGGGGAAGCAGGATCAGTTTCCGTCCTCTTTCCGACATAGGAGAGGCATGCTGTATGCTGGTGAGAAGGCTCAAGTATTTTGCTGCATTGTTTGCTTGAGGGGTAACATACCCCGTATTTTAAAAGATAACGTGGGATTTGAAAAACCAATATAAGATTGCCAAGTCCACCCAAGCATTTGACAACTTGTTAATCACTGTGAACCAATTTCCCGTTAACATCCCTTTTTATAAGCACTGTCTCTATAAACATTAGTTCACGTATTTTTAATGTGTAGTCAGCTTCATATTTTCATGTCTTTTGTTTTATAATGTTCCTGTTCTTGCCCATATCTTTGGCAAAAAAAGGCCCCAATTATATGATAATCTTGAAATGAAGCCCAAAAATCTTACTTTTTTCCTTTTTGTTCAAATACTCTTGAAACTTAAGAGTAGGAATGTTTTGAACTGAGCTACTAGAACCCGTTTTTTTTTTTTTTTTTTTTGAACAGAATTAATTAGTTGGCATACAGTTCTCGAGAGAAATATTTTTTAAAAGATAGTAAGATGAAGGAAAAGCCTTTGTCATTCAGGAATGCATCTGTGCTTAGAACGCTTTTTATTTTATTTTTTCCTCCTTCTCTCTAACTGTCAGACAGCTAAAAAAAAAATATGCCCATATACTTTGGCTTTTAATTTATTAGGATAAGCAGATAGCGATACTTCAGCAACATTCAAAATTAAGGAGCATAAAATCTTGTGACAAAAAGGTAGGTTTCTCCCCATGTACTGCAGTCACTTGCTGTGTGCAGTATGCATTAGTAGGCATCAGAGCTAGGAAAGATCTTTAAGATATGCTTTATGCTAAATATCATCAGGTCTCCTGCATTTGGAATACATTCTTACCCTGTCTAGTGGTCTGTACTTGGGTGTCTCTAACTATGGGTGTACTCCCATGATCACAAGTGATCAAGCTGCCTGTGCTTAAACCGTCTGCAGAACATGTTGTGTTAGCTTAAACTGGCATGAAGTTTATTTCTGTAGTTTGAGTTTAACCTGAAAGGACCTGGAGGTTCTTTCATTTCATCTCCTGTGTATTAGAGGCTATTAAGTGTTTTCACTAGGGGGTAGTTGATAGGATCCCACTTCCTATAAGCTTTTGTGTTCTGAGCACCTTACATCTTGTGTGTGTGGATTCAGCATTAGTTCACAGGCCTTGTGTGAACTTAAAAAAAACAAACAAAAAAAAAAACAGGGGAGGCGGGGGGATTGCATCTGATAGTTGTTCTCCAGATTAGGAGAAGGAAGCATAAGGATCAACAGCAGAAAATCTGAATGTCTGAAAATAATAATAGAATATTTGAAGGAGGAGACGCTAACTATCTCTTCTTGGGGGGCAATCCAGTGACTCAAGTAGCCACGACTACTTAGCTATAGAAGCTCCTGCTTGCACAGAAGAAGCTATGCCCTTGTCTGTTTTACAGGCAGGTTTTCAGAAGTGCTAATATTCCAAACTATTATTTGAAGTCATCATGAGGTATCAGCGCTCAAAGCCCCAAGACTTGGCAAATGAAAGAGGGTGAAGAATCTGAGGCTTAACTAAACCCAGAGACTTGTGAGTGCAGTCCTATTTCCAAACCAGTGCTGGGATTTTTTTTTTTTTTTTTAAAAAGACAGTGTAGTGTTTAATCCACTTCAGATTAGTTCCCTGCCATCCTGAAACACTAATGCATCTCTCTCGCTTCTTCTGTCAGTCTCGATTTGCTTTTCAGGTATTATTTCATCACCTCTGGCTATTTGTTGATGAAGCAAAATTGTGGGCAGCTTATTCTGTGTTTGAAAACAGTTTACTCCAAAATTAGCACAGTTGCACACAGAGAGGTTGAAGCTGATGCTGCATGTTGTCCTGAGCTTTATCATCCCGTTACCATTTCTAGAATAAACAGAAGGAAAATGACTAGGATAATTGCATTTAATCTATTACAATACCCACTCCCTGCAACTGTCAAAAATTACTAAAAATTACATTGGTTTTTTTTCAACCCTGATTTTGTTCCACCAAACAAACCTTAATTATCTTTTGTAGGAGAAATGAGAGTCTATTCTATTATCCTCTCCGTGTATTTTGTTAAATAGCTTGCTGGGAAAAAGCAACTCCAATGTAATTAGATTAATCCAGCACCCTGTGTGGAATTCAGTAGCAGGGACTGATTCCTGGACCTGCTTCCTTAACTAGATGCATGTTTTTAGAATTTTTTTTTTTTTTTGCTCTGATTAGGATACTATTGCAGCATAATGAGATTAATCTCCAGTACACTTGCACTTGAAGCTGTTTTGGTACCATGCTGACGTTGCACAGCTAATGACATAGGCCAGAGTGCATTTCCTAATTAGAAAAGTGATTTAAAGATTGTACCCAAGTACACAATTTTAATTAAGTGACTTTGAGCAGATGAAGCACTCCAGCCTTTCTAAACCACAGTACTGGTGGTTTGAGTTGATTTTTCTTTTTTCTTCTTGTTTGTTTATTCTTTCGTTTCGTAGGTATACAGTTTGTACAGAGAGGGCTCTTTAGCCCGTTTTGTGGTGGTCTTGAGCTTCCTGTTCCTTTTGCCACGTGCTGTCGGTAATAACACTGAGTAGTATCTGGAAAGCAATCTGCTAGGTGCTGGACTCAGAAATATCCCTTAGGGGTTAAAAAGAACTGAAAAGCTTGGGGTTGAGCCTGAAGCGAATGAACTGCAATAACTGAATAGTTAGCTGATGGTGAAACTACTACCTGCAAGGTACCTACCTGTTTTTCTGTGAAAGCCCTTTGAAATGTATGAAAAATATGACATTATGTATGTTATCAACTCTGACTCATAGACATATCAGAAGTCCCCACATAACTCTTCCTTCGAGTAAGCTTTTTGATGTTTGTTGACAACCTGACACACACCTATTGGATCAAAGGAGTTTAAAATAAGGATATTTTGCCTTTGCAGTTTCCATAGCCTTTTTTTCCATTTTCAGTTACTCCTTTTATTCTGTTGCTGCTTTCTTGCGCTCTTCATGGGATCCATGCCTTTGCATTTCTGCGTGCTAGCAGGGATTTGTATGTGCTGTGTCCCCTCAAAGATTTGTTCTTACTTTTCTACTATGTGAAAACAATCAGTTTCATTCAAACACTTCATTTTAAAAACAGGATACAAATGAATGAAGTTGTTTGATTTTTAAATATTAAAGCTATTAGAACTTTGAACTCTGAAAAATCAGAGTTTCAGGGCTTTTCAGATTTGGAGGCTGAATTTTTCTGTGGACTGTAACGAATGTCTGGACAGCACAGACTAACACAGTCCAAAAAGGCGTTTCTGAAACTAGCTTGCATAATGCCAGAATAACTCTGCAGTATATTATACCGCTTGCTTGCCTTTTCTCTAGACAGAATATACTAATTCTTTCTTTTACTGTTCAGGGGACATCCCTGAAGTACTTTCTTCTCCTTCAACTACTTTTTACTAAGAATACTGCATCATGAAATATTCTTTTAAAACTGCTTTTATGATGGTACTGTGAATTATCCACTAAGGAGCACCAGTGTCATGGTGGACACACAAGGGACAGTATGCACACAGCCACTTGGTCCTTATTTTTGGCTTCAGATTGCTTAAAATATTTTTCTTTTCATCACC